GTATCCGCTGCAAATGGATTTCTGTAGTAGGAAATAGTCACGCGAAAACCATTCGCGATCAAAACAAAAAAATGTTCAAATAGTCTTTGGATGCATTTTTTCATGCGTTTGGCCACAATCCAGAGGACCTTTTGAACGGTCCGCCGAAATCTACACCGTTCTTTAATGTCACTGAATAACGGATCTCACTAAAAGTACCATAAATTTTGCATTTGATCATGAGAAGTTTAAATACACAAGGCTTGAAAACAGAGGATTTTTTTGCTTTTTCTGTTTTGACTTTTGATGGGTTATTTGTTTTTCTCTTCAGCCACTTCACCGCTGAGTAAATGTATGGTTATTTTCGCTTTCCAAATCGGAAGACTGCGTTTGATTAAACATCAGCTAATAATGAACATGTCCAAACTTCCAGACAAAGAAGACATCGACATTTTATAGTCTGATAAAATAATAAAAATAAAAAACTTATGCATTCAAATTTAAAGGTAGCATTTGAAGTCAGCCTCAGCTCTGAAGGAGAAATGGATGTTAATTATGTGAATAATAAATATACCTGATATTTTTTTGGTTCAGCAATGCTGTATAAGACAAATATATCTTGGTAGCTTGCATCAGTATCGTATCAGAAGGACTATATTTATAAGTAAACAGTGTATTTCCGATAAATACGCACACAAATCCGCCAGGCATTTTCCCTCAGGTCATAAAATAATGTGAAATTTAATGTGCGCAACGTATCTCTGGATCCATCGATCGATTGATTGATTGATTGAGTGGGTGAGTGAGTGAGTGAGTAATTATGATGTGACCGCTTGGCCGTCTGATTATCATTGAAATCAAACTCATTTTATACTCTACTCCGTAATAATCTGAGTAAGCCATGACATATCGTCACAAGACATCCACTCTCGCTTTATCAAAGCTGATTTATAATCGAATGACAAAGTGTAAGCCTTTTTAAAGAGAAATTAACGAAGGACATCTCACTGAAATCAAATAGGTCCTCAAAGAGCTTACAGCGTGTTCTTAATGGCGGATACGTGAAGATATGCTTTTTAGGTGATTTGCAGATTGTAAATCGTTCTAAATAACAGTTTTATGTCACTATTGTGTGGCTTAATTGAATAATGTAAATTAATCCGTCGTCGAGTTTTCACGATACCGGATAAAGTCAGGTAAGTCATCTAAGGCGAGCACGCGCGCAACTGAAACAATTCATTATCAGGGTGGTAAATGCAAAAGATGATCGCATGTAACAGAACAAAGTTGAAAGTAAGGAAATTCTAAAACTGTTCACTGCCTGTAAACTCATTCTAACTGCAAAAGCTAAAAACCCCCCATCAGCAGGATTGGTCGCATTGGAACCTAAGCCATAAAATAAATAAATAAATAAATAAATAAATAAAGGAATAAAAATAAAAAATGAAGATAAAAATAAATCATTTGTTGCTTTTCATAATAGGATCGGTTAACAGCCAGTCACGGTGGCTGTGTTTTCACATCTCCATCATAATGGTAATTAGAGAGGAGCACTAATGCAAATAAATAAATTTTAGTTATTTAGCGGAAGATACATGCGTTATTCGCATATGGCAGAACACTCGGCACCTCCTAGCTTGAATGGAAAGATATTCTTCTCGAAACAATCGCTGGTGGAAAAATTTAAGAAGAAAAGCCTCTGAGATCGTGTAACATATAAGGCCCTGCCTGGACAAATGCGCAATAAAGAACTTCATCGGTGTTTACTTAGCCTCATCTTACTCTAGAAGGGTTGGAAGAATTTGATTAGTTATGAACACCCGAGACGCAGTTCACTGGAGTTCCCACCAAGATAGCGTCCAGCTCACGATCATCGGGGCAGAAATAGCGATGAAGTAATGTTTTCTTTTTCTTTGTCGTCGGGCTCAGGGGGATTATGATTGCCAAACATAAAATAAAACTTTGCATTTTTCCCTATTGCCTTAATGTTTTTACTTGAAATTTTTTTGGCGAGGATTGTGAAAGATCTCAGATCAAAACCGTCACGTGCACTCTCTTAGGTTTCTCACAATAAAAATTTAAGAGATATCTCGTGACGGTCATTCATAAAATTAGATTATTACGAGTAGTGATGTCTCTGACAGTAAGGGAAGTATTATGCTGAGACAAGAGATTATTGGCAGAGAAAAAAGGTCCATCTAACCGTCAGGTAATAAGAAACACAAAAGGGCAAAGTCCTATCAGTTTATAAAGCTTGCCGCCACAATTTCTGTATAGTTTCTCATTGTCTTTGTGGTCGCATATGCATGCTCCATACATCCAAAGAGTTACGCCCAAATCATTACGATGAGACGTTCTCAACAAGGAATAGGTATGTAATACCGGCTGTTTGGTAAACAATTTGCAGTGCATATAAACTTCCGCAAACACTGTGGTCATTTATTTTCCAAATATAGGACTTTTTGAGAAACAAGTATGTCATTTAATACTAGAACTCTTCAATTTAAAGAGGCAAACAGTTGTAGCAACGTTTATACCATGGGGTTTGCATGTATAACTTAATTTTGCAACATGCGAGAATTCTCGAGAGGCCTTCTATATATCATCAATAACAGTCGACAGAAGTTGAAGTGCAGTCGTTTCATAGCGGTTTTGGATGCTGGTTCCTTTCATCTAACACAGTTGAACCTTAACGCTGGTGATTCTCTATTACTTTTTTTTCCACTGTGTTCTTTATAATCCCATCTCCAAACTCTCAAGCTTGTTTCTTACCAAAAAATCAAACTTTGCCATTTTCCCTATTGCCTTAATATTGGCGAGTGTTGCGAAAGATCTGAGATGATGTCAAAACCGTCACGACGCAAGTAGTGATGTCTCTGACAGTAAGGGAAATATTGTGCTGAGACAAGAGATTATTGGCAGAGAAAATAGGTCCAACTACTTGTCAGGTAATAAGAAACACATGAAGGTAAAGTCCTAACAGTTTATAAAACTTGCCACCACCTTTTCCTTGTAGTTTCTCATTTTCTTTTTGGTCGCATATGCGTGCTGCATACATCCAAAGAGTTACACCCAAATCATGACAATGAGATGTTCTCAACAAGGAATAGGCATGTTATTATCAACTATCATGAGAGTATATGGCTTTTTTATCATGGCTTTGGTAACGCGGTGAAATTCCAGTATCAATTGGTTTCGCGCAGACCTTCGTGTCTGGTCGGTATAATGATCGCTTCCGGCTAGTGACCCTTGACCACTTCCAGTCATATGACGAGAGGCGTGAGCAGCCACTCAGTACTTTTACTTTATGTATTTTTTGACTCATGTAATTTTCCAGTTTTGTTTCAAGTCGAGAATATAATGTCAAACCACCGTTTATTGACTTCTGTTCAATGACCTGACAGTCAGGGACTGTTTCTGATAATCATTATTCCAAGAAAGGGAAGTCTGTCGTTGTTATCAAGTTCCATTGTGAAACTGAGTGAGGGTGGATTTCATTTAGTGTTGACAAGAAAACAGAGGCAGATGAAACATCTTGGAATGATGATTAACGGGAAAAGTCCCCGACCAGAAACGAAGGTCTACTCGAAACCAACTGATACTGGACTTTTACCGCATCACCAAAGCCATGTTAACGAAAAGTACAAACTGTCTCTGCTGAGGATAATGTTAAACCTTGCATTTAAAGTCTCCTCGAACTGGATGTTTTTCCATCGGGAATATGAATGTCAAAAAAAAGCTTTTGTATGAGCCAACACTGTCATCAACATGTGGAGGGACATAAGAAATCAAAACTCGGCAATCACGTCAAGGACGAGCACGGAAAGGATCCCGAGACCATCGAAAGAAATTTCAAGATTTAACCTTCTAATGAAGGAAGAAACGCTACGATTTTCCCTTCGATTTTTCGCCCACATGCATCTCTCTAAACGTGGAATTTTCCATTCCTACAGAAAATCTCGAAAGTTTTTCACATTTTTTACCTTTCTTGATCAATCATCTTGTATAAAGAGCTAAGAAATGGAGGTTTATTTGTTCAAGTGACAACCTAGAGCAAGAACTGCGTGACAGGTGTAGTCGAGAGAAACTTGTCACAGTCGCATATTTTAAAAGGCATCCAAGACAAAAATACAGTAGTGACCTAAGATTTTTGATGATTTTCAGAGATGAAATGATGGGTTATAAAAGGGAATCAAGATTAGTGTTGTAGCTTTCTGGCAAGGGGAGATATTTGACCTCAAAGTTGTCAAATATTGGGAGGAATCGAAAAGTCTAAAAACACAGTCGTTTCTTGGCCTCTGTTTATTGACAAGTCGACAATCCAATTGACTGATACTTGTAGCGAACATTAACTAAGGATGGAAAAATATATGTGCAAACCCTCAGAGTAATTTTTTTAATACCATTGCAGTGAGAG